AATTCAGAAAATGAAGCTAGAGCGACTACTTCTCTGTATTCTGTAGACTCTTATATGAAATCAGCTGTAGATATTTGATCTGTATCATCACTCATACTTATTGCCATATAAAGGAGGAATTAGATTCATAAATGTTAATCAGTCATACTAAGAATATTGGGTGACTGATTCTAAACATAAGAATCCATAAGATAATTATTTGATTTATATTTAAGATTCATCTTCTGTACACATTTGATATCTCCCTGATTATAAAATGCTGAGGTATCCGACTCCAGTTGAGATGTAGACTTAACTATCCTGTATACTCGATCGCTATCAATATCATTCTAGTTGAATTATCTTGAAAGTTATTACAATACATATAACATTGGTAATTGTTATGTAATTAGTGCTTGTTTAAAAATCTTATTTCACAATAAATGATAGATACAATGGTCAACTAGTCAATTAAAAACCGAATTAAGTTATTATAAGGTTAGGACAAATGTGTAAGCATTCAGTAAGATATTGTTCTTTCAGTATTATTCTATAAAAATAATCAAAGATTGACAATAAATCGACACAACATTTAATGAATTAAGTCAGCAAAATCTGTTTACGGGGAAAAATAATAAAAAAATTTTTTTAGAAAAACTTTCTGATTTATAGATGATCAGTGTTACATAATAACTGCGTCACAAGACAAGCCCTCACATGGAATTCTCAAGGCCAAAGGAAAAGCGGAAGACCAAAGAACACATTACGCCGGGAAATGGAGATAGACATGAGAAAAATGAACATGAATTGGATGGAATTAGAAAGGAAGGCTTAGGACAAAGTGGGTTGGAGAATGTTAGTCGGGGGCCTATGCTCCATTAGGAGTAACATGCTTGCATTGTGCATTATTGAATTGTGAAGTATTACTCAATAGGTTACGTAGTAGGTTTTTGTAATCAAAGGTGAAACTTAATTGATACTAAGTTTTAAAGTTTTCAAATTATATAAATGGTGAAATTATGAAAGCATAAGAAAGATTGATTGAGATTTGACAGATAACTTTTAAAGCTACTTTAGTATTAATTCTGTAACTAGGTATCAATCAAAAGTGAGGAAAAAGTGTTCCTTGTTATTTCTTTTTGTTCTTTTCTTAATCATAAAGAATGACGTTCAAAAGTGTTACAATAAGCTTCCCTTTCCACAATGAAGCTAGGTACACAAAATCAGTAAAATCGGTAAATACAAAATCACAGAGGTGAAACATGGTATCTCGTGAACTTTGACAGATATTAATTTTTCCTCAATCGATCACTGATAATTCAAATTATCGTAGATGATGGTTGAAGGTAGTTGACCGAAAACCCCGTACCCGGGTTTCGTGCTACTTGGCACTCGTCAGCAAGGTGTACCTGTTATCTTGAGGGAACTGGTGCTCTCTGACGAATTCGATCCCGTGTCACCCAACTTCACAGTCAGAAGGGTTACCACTGAGCTATCCTGGCTGCGACCGACCTCAAATTATCCTCTCTGAGATTTTGTCAGTATAGATTATTTCATTTCCATGAATCATGTATTGAATTAGATTTCACTTATACTGTTGTTGAATAAAGATATAGAAATGAGTATACTAGTCTTTTATTGTCGGTCACTGATAGAAATTTCTTTTCATGGCTTTATCTGATGTTGCATTGCGAAGTTGAATGCTTGATGGACTGTTTTGAGATTGTCCTGTGAGCTCTTTGCATTTCAGAGCTGTAGATATGCAATGATATTATTCTAGCCGACAGCAATTTTGGAGTAGATGTTTTCCAATAATAGTAGTAAGGTATACTCCAGTATTCAACTTAGCGTTGGCACCAAAAAGATATCTCTAAAACTACCTTGAATAAAGTACTTAACGAGATCTTTGTGAAGTGATTTAAAATGTTCGACTTACCATTTCATACATGAGCTGCATGGACAATTAAGCGTAAAGAGAACTGAACAAGTTACCTAACCATTTTAGTAGACCATGAATCTAGATATCACAGCGTCTAAGAATCTTGGAAGACCGAATACGTTTGTTTCCAGTATCTCAGCGACCACACTAGCTGTCTTCCAATGTACTCTGTGAGTGTGTTGTTAGTTGATAATTTCTAAAATTTGCTATGCTTACTTATTTCTGTTTTCCCTCGTGAAACATAGGGAAACGACAAAAATTCTCCAACTAACTCAGTCTTCAGTTCTCCTTTCCAAGTGCTACCAAATACTATTTATCATTTTGGTCCCTGCTTCCAATTCTGGACGCAATGTGTTCTTTGGTCTACCCCTTTTCTTTTAGCCTTAACGATTCTATGCTAGGGTTTGCTTTATGATGCAGTTTTATGATTTCCATAATGTGTGTCCTATATTACATCTAGAGTCTTTTCATAAAACGTTTGCCACAGTCACTACGTAGCATGTTCATTTTATCCATATAGCACAGGTTATCTATGATAATTCCTAATTAGTCCTTGTTAAGATAAGTATTCACTAAATAGTAATCAATTTCATGTATATTTAGTTTTTGGTATTAAACAGATCCTTCTGAATAAATTGCTGAGTATCTATTATTTAAAGTGACTCTACACTGAATGTATTGTGATGAGCTGTCAGTTGACTGAAGAAAGTTGATGGGACGTCTTGAAATTAGACTTCATACTGATTGTCACTTGTCAGTAAGGACCATCTGTAGCTGATAATTTCTAAAGGATTTGAAACTGTAACATCCAGTTTCAGAAGTACGGAATTTACTCTATGGGTTGATAATAACCTCTTGTCAAAGAAAGGTATTTACACTGACCTATAACCGTATTGTACCGACTGTCATATTTGTTTAATCTAACCACTCAACATGAAAACACAAAACAATCTATGCTGAGTTACTCGAACTATTGGTTACTGTTAACTGTGATCGGTAGAATCTGAGTAACATGAAGGGACTAAACAAACACCAAGTTAGTGACTACTCAGTGACTTATCTGTGTTAATTGGTTTTTATTTTAGCTAGTCTCAGATTATTTTGTTTTAAGTCAATATGATTCACATCAAGTTTAAGAAAAACTAATCTCAAAGGTGATAATTGGACGTAGAAAATAATTTCAAAATATCGAAACCTCTGACTATCTAGGTTAGTATTATTGAAAGCAGTAGACTTTTAGAAATCATAATCAATGTTGTATCCTTCAAATCGACATATATATATATATATATATATATATATATATATATATATATATGCATTAAAATGACTTCAGTAACCAAATACATGTCTTCATGCATGTAAATATATGTAGGAAAACAAGAATACACATTATTTGAACCAGAGCTCAAGAAAGACTAACGCAATAAGCGAACTAGGAACGACTTTTATCGTTAGAGTAATAAACAGGAATATAGAACTCAGTGGATTCACCTGGTCCTTCGTTATCTCGTTTAAGTGGTTTTTAATCTTATATATGGATGATTAGTTAACCTTAAGAACTACTTTATTTTATGTGCTTGTATAGTCCTGTATTACCCAACTGTCAATTTGTATTAAATACTGGTTACAAGCATCCCGTCAACGGTATAAGGCTATGCATTGTAATGCCTCACTTTACCTTGTTACCCTTTACCCGATGTGATCTTGTTCTTTCAGTAAAGCGAACCATATTATATAAGTCACACGTATCTGTCACAATAAGCCATGATGCTTTATTAGTTATCTACGAAATTGTCCCTCGAATTAATAGTGACAAATAACTAAGTTATTAAGCAGAGACAATTATACTTAGTTTTGGGCTACACTTTCCCTTTAAAAGTAGTGATACTCTACAATGATCAAGATCGAACACTTTGAAGTTGGATTTAAAATTCTTAATAAAATAAATTTCAGTTGGTCTATTTATTTGAAGCTCTCATTGTTTATATTATTTGATCGAAACACTAGAACAACTGGTTGTAGATAATTTTTTACAAAAAATGATTTGACAACAAATAATATTCAACGTTAGCATGTTTTACTGATCAATATTGACTAAAATTATAGGTCCTTTCCCTGAGTAACCATTGAGCTTTATTATAGGTGTGACAAAACAGAAGATTTCGAAAATGGATAGTGGCTAGCAGTGGAATCCAGGACGAGTGTTTCGTCCGATTTGAGACTTGTCAGCTGGATGTACCTACATCTTACAGTTGATGTTCACTCTGGGATTGGAACACAGTACCATTCGCTCCAAACTCCGTGACGTTATCTACTTAGCTACTGAGTTCTGATAGCCATTTGCTTGTACAATGGGGTAAAGTTATATTCGCTTGGAGTTTTTTACTTGTATCTTCCGATTGCACAAGCAGGCGGCTATCAGGACTCAGTGGCTAAGTGGATAAAGCGATGGTGTTTGAAGCGAAAGGTGCTGGGTTATAGTCCTAAAGTGAACATCAACTCTGGAATTCAGGGACATCCAGCTGACACATCCCAAAATAGGACGAAACGTGCGTCCTGAATTCCACTGCTAGCTACTATCCATCTTTGCTTGTAAAGCTTGTAACTTCAGGCAATATCGAGGCAGTCCGCACAGGATGCATATAAGCCAAAAAGAGACTAATCAATTGCCGTCATAAATTCATTTTGACTATATACGTGTTGTTGATAGTTTCACAATAATAACGCATTGCCAACATATAACATATTTCCTTGAAATGATGAAAATTAAAATGTTAGTCTTTTGTTCAGAATATAATCCAGAACTAGTCAATTCTTCAATTAAATTTTGATTAAATCTTGAAGATGGAATATTATAATGGACGCTTTTTATTCAGTAAGGTCAATACAACTAATGAAGCTATGAAGTGCCTTCGAATAATCAACTGATGGAATTAAAACATCTGATTATTTCAATAAATCCATTCTCATTTTATTTCATTTTATGGTATCTTAAGCCTATTTAAATGATTTAACATAAAAAGATGTATCAATCATGTTGTGACTTTATCCTTTTCACCAATTTATTCTATATTCATAGTACGAACACAATCATTATCATCTATGGCATCTACAATCAATGTTAAACAACTTGTTGAACAAATGAAACATCTTCTTCAAGATTTAAAATCATGCCCGGTAACAGATAAATTGATTACCAATGAAGAAAAGTGAGTTGATTGTATATGTTATTTTATCATTTACCTAATGTATACAACAAAGAAAATCATTTATTGAGATCATCTTATGCATGAAAAAATAATTTCGCCGTTTAATGAATAATAAATTAGACTGAATTCAAAGGATATTTAAAGTGATAGTTGCATTTGAATAGTCCTAAAGTTTAGATCCCAGTCAATCAGTTTGTTAGTTGCATTATAAGATTAAAATGTAAATAAAATACAATTTCACTCAGCTGACTTATCGAATCGAAATTTGGCTATCGATTGAATATTGTTGTCGAACAACAGGTAATAAATGATATGAAGTGAACTGGATGATTACGATTCTCATTCAAGTATATAATAAGATTTAATATATTGAATTTATTTCAACTTATCATTCAACTGCAACAATATGGATGACTCTCTCGGTCTCCTACATTTTATGAGCATTCCATGTACCTAAATTAATGGTTGCTCTGGCTGTCAGAAGGGGCATCAGCCTCGTGACTTCTGAAGGAACGCCTATCATTACTATTAAATAATAATAATTTTATATTGATCGAAGTTGATAAATATGAACCAAGTGATTGCGGATTGTCTATTTAATAACTTTTAAATTTAGATCATGAGTCAGTTGAAGCTAGACCACCATGGAATACCTGCTAGCATTGGGTGGCTGTTTCGTTCTATTGTGAGACTCCTCAGCAGTGTGCATCCACGATCCCGCTCGCTAGATTCAAACCCAACAGCTATCGGTCACGTGCACGAACGCTTAACCTCTAGACCACTGAGTGTTGATTGAACTACCTCCTAATCTCACGAGGCGGGATCGTGGATGCACACTGCTTAGAAGTCCCACAATACGACGAAACGACCGTTCAATGCTTCCAAGTTTTCAATGATGGTCTAACATGAATCGGTTCATGATCTCAATCAAAAACTTAACAATCACCCCAACCCCTAAACTGATCATTTCATAAATCTTTGATTTACATGAAAGTTTAAAATCTTAAAGTTGATTTCTGTATAGGTCCATATATTGATCACTAAATAAAGGTTTCAATTAAAATAAAAAGAACGTTTTCTTCAAACCTTCTATGACTTTCATTACTTTTGTTAAATTTCGTACTAGAAAAAAATCGATTTAGTATTTACTGAATGGATGATAATGTTTTTTCTTTCTTTTAACCTTTGAAAAAAAAGTTACCGGCTAAACATAATTTATATAAAATGTCATTTAATTACCTAGTAACTATTTATATCTTAATTTTAATGAATCTATATGAATAATACTAAAATTTGGAAACAATTATAATAAGATTTTAATCTAATAAAAATCATTGTAAATAAAAAAATAGTTCAAATAGAATTCAATTGTCAATTATCGAACAGTTTATTATTGGTATTATTGTTGTTGTTCTTGTTGTTGTTATTGAATCGGATCAATAACATTGTAATATATATCTATACGAATGTATTGATCTTTTACAGAGAGATCCAATATTAAATTGATTAATTTGTGATTGGTCCAATTAAAGATCTTCATCATTGATGAAATGTTTATAATCAGTTCTCAAGTGATTTATTAAGTAATTTGGGAATTTAAGGAGAAATTCACAGAAGTGATACAATATTTTTTGTTCAAAATTATAGTCTACAATTTATATAGTTTTAAAAGTTTAACAATAACAATAAATAAACATCGTTTTTGATTGAAATCATGAATCGATTGGTGTTAGATCATCAATGAAAACCTACAATAACTGGACAGCCGTTTCGTCCTATTGTGGGACTTCTCAACAGTGCGCATCCACAACCTCATACTCAGGATTCAAACACAAGACCTTCGATTTCGTGCTCGAGTGCTTAACCTCCAGACCACTGAACCAGTATTCAATGGTGCTAATGTCTAAATTCAACCAATCCATGAAATTGCTCAACCATCTTTCTTTGTCTGAGTTACATACCTGTCTCTATGTAGCACGGATTATTTCTACTGGTCACGACTTCGCACTAGAACTCGGAGAATTCCGTCACGAAGCTAGTCACTAGTGAGCACATGGTAATTATTAGTATAGTGTTGCGGCCATGAGTTCGAATCTTGCTGACGGTATCATGGATCCAATTATTCTAAATTTAATATCAAAAGGAGTTTTTGTGGATATTATAGTAATTTTAATAGTTGAGATCATGATTTCATTGAAGCTAGATCACCATCATCATCCTGTTGTGATTCTAGAGGCTAATTGTCCACGCGCGAGACCGATAGGTCCTGGTTTCGAATATCCCAAGACGGGATCGTGGATGTGTGCTGCCGAGGAGTTCCACAGTAAAAGGAAACGTTCGTCCGGTCCTTCCAGGTTTACCATAGTGGTCTAGCTTCAAGTAACTATTAAAATATCATTTTGTTAACAAGCTTGCTTACCTAAGTAGATAGAGTGAACTTTGGATATTCTATATAATTCGTGTAAGAAATTATTCATCACCTACGTCAATTATGATGATAAGCTCCTAGTGTTTCTTAAGATTTGTATAATTTGAATTAAATTTATGACTCCATAACTGACTGACGGAATATAAGTAACGGAATCATCACTTTAACACTTTTTCAATCGATTATTACTCAGAATTATATGACATACATATTTCATAAATGACCTGAGTTGTTGTTTTCCAATGAGTAATTTAACATATATTGATAAGAATTTATTGGCAAGTAACTTCTTTTTAAATAAACACAAATTATAATGTAGTTATCGAATTGTTGAGCTGTATTTCATTAGTTAAAAGCTTATCAGATTCAGGGCTTCAATTTTTTTTAGGGATGATTATTCAAGTTGTCATGACATATCAAAGTAGATTAAAATAGGTGTTCATGTTACCTCGGTTTCTAAAGTTGTTTTTTCAGTAATGCTGGTAATTGATAAAAACAATTTCATTTTTTATCATCTAAATCCTAAACCTAATATTATTTTTAACATGGTGGAAAAAATTTATAGCATACGTGGATGATATTTTTTAGTTTTGTTCTCTGAGTTGGATGGCTTGGTTGTGGAGCTCTCATCGTTCTTTTGAACGACATCATCACCACAAACTTCATGTAGAAGTGAAGTGTTCGAATTTCTCCATATATGGTTCACAGTTTATTCTGTAAACTTCGATGTTGATTAGTTTTTGTTGACCTTAGACTTATCATAGTTTACTTCTTTGTTTTGGTTATATCTCTGATTGGTTTGATTTTTGTTCCTATGTTTGTCTATAATTTTCCTGATTGGTTGATAAATTGGATCGATTTCAATGTACTTGTTTATTGTTGATTGAACTGAGTGCTAAGCTTCAAAAATTTCTCTGGTGTTTTTGGAATTGCCTCTACCTAAAATCTCCACATTTTCCCAGTCGAATGTGTGTCTGCAGTTGTTCACGTACAATGATATAAGTGAGGACATGCCATGTCGTTTGACTGCTAATAGATATTCATGCAGGCGAAGATAAAGAGGGCGTCTGCTTTGTCCGATGTAATGTTATTCGCATAATTTTAGGCATAATTTATTTTCTAGATGTTCGATCTTTCTTACAGTTCAGAGAACATAACTCCATCAAGATACTATTTTTCCTTGTAAGGTGAGAAAAATAATCATTATTCTGTTGAAGTGTTTTGAACAAACTGTCGAATACTATCCTAATGACCTCGAATTAGATCTTTTAATTTATAATCTTAGTTAATAAAGCTCTAACATTTAAAGTACATAGTTTTTATATTTCAATAGAATTTACTTACTTACGCCTGTTACTCCTCGTAGAGGTGCATAAGCCGACCACTAGCATAATCTGGTTGCCGTTTTTTGGGATGGAGTTGCAGACCTCATGCCCAAATCTCTTCCTTTACCCGGGCTTGGGACCGGCAGTAACTCTAAAAGAGCTACAGTCGGAGTTTATTTCAATAGATGTATCGTTGATCATAGTGAAGAGTTATGAACAAAACAAAGCACTCAGATTGAAAAATATATTTAAAAAAAATTTCTCTAATGGGATATTTAAAATAAAATTATTTTACAAATTGTTTAATTGACATAATTATCAATAATTTTCAAATTATAAATATTTGAATAGAATTACTAGGCACACCCATTATGTGTATAACGGTTAAAGCAATTCATTTTTAGTCTAATCCTATTTATAAACATGATAGTAATTAACGTTCTTGTAAGCAAGAGTAGCAAAGTCTACAAGTAGAATTATTATATACTTACTTACGCCTATGACCCCCAATGGAGCATAGACCACCGGCCAGCATTCTCCAACCCATTCTGTTCTAGACATCCCTTTCTTGTTCTATCCAGTTGTTGTTCATTCTTCTCATGTTTGTCTCCATTTCTCGGCGTAATGTTTTCTTTGGTCTCCCTCTTCTCTTTCTGCCTTGAGGGTTACACTTGAGGGCATGCCTCCCGATGTAGTGAGGGGTGCTTTCCTCAATGTGTAACCTATACACTCCCATCCCTTCTTCCTGATTTCTTCCTCCTCTGGAATCGCGTTTGTTCTCTCCCACAGTAGGTTGTTGTTGTTGATAGTTTCTAGCCAACAGATTCGAAATATTTTGCATAGACAGCTGTTAATAAACATTTGTATCTTCTGGATGATGGCTTTCGTATTTTTACAAGTTTCCGTTCCATACAGTAGAACTCTCTTGACATTTGTATTGAAAATCCTGACCTTGGTGTTGGTTGACAGACAGTTGTTTTGTGTTCCAGATTTTCTTCTGTTGTAAATATGCCGCTCTTGCTTAGCCGATCCACACCATCATATCTGCATCAGATCCGCCGTGTTCATCAATGATGCTGTCCAGATATGTATTAGTTTTTACATTTTTTAAATCTTCTCCGTCAATTGTGATTGGATCGGTGCATGCTGCGTTGTATTAGAGAATCTCTCTTTTCCCTTTGTGTATATTGAGACCTACTGCTGATGAGGCTTTTGCTACACTGGTCGTCTTCTCCTGCATTTTTTGTTGCGTGTGCGATAGAAGAGCCAGATCATCTGCGACGTCTAGATCGTCCAGCTGCATCCAAGCTATCCACTGTACCTCATGCTTCCCCCAGAAGTCGACGTCTTCATAATGCAGTCGATCATTAGGTGAAAGAGAGAGGGTGAGAGTAAGCAACCTTACCTGACACCGGTTTTTACTGCAAACGAGTTTGTCAACTATCCTCCATGCACAATTTTGCAGTTTAATGCGGGTATAATAAAGTTGTCTTTATTTGTAAGAGTATGTGCGTCTTGTGTGTATACTCACCAAGATTTGAATTTAAAACTGATAGTTACTGAGTCGACTTTTATTGTCATGCAAACGATATTATGTACAATCACATATAAGAGTTCATACGCAAACTTACTTCTTTATTCAGGAGGTCTTTCAAGGGAGTAATTTTTATGAAGATCAGTTTTCAATAATTTTAATGCCGATAGATAATGTGTGACTATTCTCCATCGTAACGAACTAATTACAATTGGAAAATACTGGATGTTATATTTTAAATAAATAGTCGGATAGTTGTTTATTTTTTTAAAGAAAGTTTATGAATTATATAAGGATGAAATCGAGCTCTGTCGAAGAACTCTGTCAAAGACAAATCAGTGTTTGGATAATTTTTAGTCATCAATTTAAACTAAGTAGATGTTAAACGATCAAGATTATTTTCATTCATAAATCCTTGATGAATATACTAGATTGCTTTAAGTTTCGGGCTAGAATAACCTAGTTCATAGACCTCTTTGTTGAGAGGTGATGAATTCTGAGGTTAGCTGACTTATTTAACAGGTTAACAGTCTGATCAACATCAAAGAGCTAATAAGTTTGCAATGGAGCCAGAAAAAGATTTAAAATTTAATTTAAGCTAGTCGTTTCTAGGCATTCAGGAATTTTAAGGTGACTGCTGTTCAAAAACACCTTCGATTATTCTACGAGGTAAGTCTTACAGGAGTTCTCTGTTGAATAATTATGTGGTGAAATGTTATAATTTCATCCTGTAATTTCTATTTTAATGCACCTTCGTCTTGATCCTTTGTAATATCCAACATTGTGAAGCAGAATAATCTTGTATATCAAAAGCTGTGTGGTTATTTCCATATCAAGTAAACCTACAATTATAGAGTTAGGAGATAATAAAATTGAACCTGTCACTCATTCTTGTGACTGAGAAGAATTTAGTTGTTAGAAGCAAATTAGAAGCGGCCATTTGTAGTCATTAATGATGTTAACATCATATCTCTGATTTAAAGAAATTTCGATGTCAAAAATTTACAACTCATTTCAAAGTTAGCACCCTTACTAAGTGATGGTAATGTTGAAAGAAAGATGGAGAATCAAGAAATGGGGAGAAATCCTAATCACAAAGTGAAAAAATTTCTCAATTTCTTTGTCTCTGTGATTAGTCATATGATGATATAAATTGTTTTGAAACTCATAATAATTCGAAAATCAAATCTAAATGTTTGGTTTAGTTTCATAGTGTAGGTAAAACACCATTTTAAGTATTCTTCTTGTCTATAATTAGATCGATAGCACTGATAACATATTTTCATCACGTTTTTAACCCATTGGAAAATAGTCTTTATAAATGGAAAAGAAAACAATAATGTTGCTAAGTGGAAAGAGATTTTATGAATTTGATAAAACTATTAAAATCTTTTAGATGCTATTCTGTCCGTGAATCGAAAAAAAACTACAACACATTGATTACTCCGTAAACATACTGATAATTAAAATGTGCTTACTAATGACTAGCTTCGTGACGGAATTCTCCGAGTTCTAGTGCGAAGTCGTGACCAGTAGAAATAATCCGTGCTACATAGAGACAGGTATGTAACTCAGACAAAGAAAGATGGTTGAGCAATTTCATGGATTGGTTGAATTTAGACATTAGCACCATTGAATACTGGTTCAGTGGTCTGGAGGTTAAGCACTCGAGCACGAAATCGAAGGTCTTGTGTTTGAATCCTGAGTATGAGGTTGTGGATGCGCACTGTTGAGAAGTCCCACAATAGGACGAAACGGCTGTCCAGTTATTGTAGGTTTTCATTGATGATCTAACACCAATCGATTCATAATCTCACTCAAAAACTGAACGATCTCTACAATTTCATACTGATATTAATTGTCCATTTACATGAATCCTTGCAAGGACCAAAATGGATTTTTAAGTCACTAAATTGTTCTTGTTTAGAATTAGAGCAAAGAGTTTTCATTACAAACTGACACCAACTGTTGTGCTAAAGTGCTTTGTAGACATATATTGGAATGTAAATAGGACAAAACTTCAAAAGGTGTTATCTTTGTAGTGAACGAGAACACGGGTGGGGACAATCGATTGTATTTGGCACAAAAATTACAGACTATCTCAATAAAATGTGAATACCATAAAGTCAGTCGTCAATTTGCAAAATATCATTCCATCATATCAAACTGTACTGTTCCCGTTGCAAACACTAATCCATTGTCTCCCATTCCATTGTACATGCGTTTTCTTACAATTTCATTGTGCTCTTGCTCTTCCTTTCTTGATCTTCGCCATCTTCTGCTGCCGGACATTACGTTCTTTTAACGCACGTTATATACTACTTATATAAGTAGCTCACACCACATCTTAATTTTCACTCATTTGTCCATAAATTATAGTACCACCGGGATAATGTTTGTCCCAGGATTATGAATTAGAATTCAGTCATAGATTTAATTTACTTGTTACGCGTTAAAAAAACGAATCATTTAACACTATCTTTTTTACCCTATAACGATTAAATGTAACTTTTCGTTTTCACTTGATACATTCTTCGAACCATCCAAAGATATTTTTTTTCGTTTTCTCGATTCAGATCATTTTATCTTTATGATATATTTTAGACGGAAATGTGTACGAGCTTATTGCTTGATTTGTGACGAAGGCAACACATTTTAATAGTTGTGTTTAAAACACTTGCTGAAATAAAACAGCTTGATTGAAAACATTTAAAAACGAGAATGTTCAGAATGTAGTTCATATAATCCTTATTGTATCTAAGATGTTTATCAGCATAACACAAAGTTAAAATCATAATATAACATTGAGATGAATAACTCTATATGAATAATAATGACAGTGTGATCTATGTACTTTGATTCAGTAGCATCTAACAAAGTATGTTAGTACATAATTATGTACACACATAGAATTAGCTCTAAATGTAAACTTAAATGACACTATTATTTTACTAAATAATATAAAATGAGCAATTTTATGACAATTAACTATAATAGATGGCTAAAGTTAATTACACTAAAGCTAAAATCGAATATATTCAAGTTTGTTATAATCATTTAAAATGATCATATCATTTAATCTATAGAATGAGATTTGAAAGTTATCTCTTATACCTTTTCATGAATTTAATGTACAATCATGTCATTCTTATTCATATCACAAATGTAAACCTACTTTCATTTGAATTTTGATGAATTTCTTCAATTATATTCATGGTTTAAATCATATTATTGAATAGATCATGTATTGTTCGTATGTTTTGACTATTTCTATAGTATTATAAGATTCCTTAAAGCACGTAGTTGGGACTTACAATCTGCAGAAAAAATGATGCGTAAAGATATACAATGGCGCCAAGAATTTCGACCAGATTTAACAGACTGTAAAAATTGTCACAATCAACCAGGAACTCATAGTTTAGTAAGTTTCATTGTTCATTTCTTCCTCAGAGTCTATCATGCAAACAAATTCACTTATTTTTCAAAGTCAGTGGTCAGTTTAATATAGTTTACTCATCAGGGAGTTACATGGTTTTATTTTATTTATTTATTTGAACACATAAATATTTGTACAAGGAGGCACGAAATAGATATGCGCTATATAAATCATTCAATTTTTGTGAGAGCTGAAATACTGTCCGGTTGCCCAAATCGAAACAGGTGGTTTTCTAAGGGAACCATACTCGAAACCTTTGACCTAAAGGTTTGATCCACGAGGCAGTGGAGCAACGTAGAGAGATGCAGTCATATGGTAGTCGATGACCAACAGTTGGTTCATACGTCATTTATTTCCTCAGGATCCTTCAGCTCATGTACACTATTGGTTTGAAATGAGGGTTTTCCGACTCCCCTAGGTGGACTCATGGTGTCTACAGGCTCGGTTAAAGTGCCAGACATTCGCTTTTCATCCTCTGAATCTCATAAACAACATCCGTGGTGCAAGAAGGCAATAAATAGGACTTGTGTGGCAGTGGTTGTATGCACGTGGCCTTATGAGATCATTTGGAGAGGGAGAGCTAACTCTACCCGCTCTTGGGCGTACCAGGGCATTTTGGGACAGTTGTTGTGAAATAACTTGAAGTATTTTCTATTATTTGAGAAAATCATTTTGTGGAAATACTGTAGTTTAATTAGTGTGAATGGATTCAACAAATCACTAAGCCATTCAGCAAACCTATTAAAAAAAATGTAAATATTAGCGACTCAAGTAAAGAAATTAGTCATTTACTGTAAAATTAAATTAGGAGTTTACAACTTGATAAATGTCGATCGTTGTAAATGAAACAGAGTTTGATCACGGCCGATAAGATAATAATAATAATATTAACAAAATATGTAAAATTCTTTACTTGTCTCAGTTAAAACCGTTCAAATTTACTGATTTAATGAGAATAAGGTTTAGTATAAATGAAAGTGAATGACAGTGGGACGGTGGTTGTTGATTGACTGAACTAATATTTATTATGTTCTTAAATTATACGATTACCGTGAATACGATCACCAAAGTTAGATACCTGGCCTTATACGACCAAAAATTGATGCATACACCTAAACGAACGGCCTAGAGTCCCAATTGGTCCTTTTCCCTACCTATAATGTCCGGAACATCGATCGCAGCCTCCGCGATATGAATCAAATATTTCAAACCTACTCGGTTTATTTACGAGCCAAATAGACCACAACACACTGAAAAATAGAAAATAACATTTATACAGTATCTAGCTAAAAATGGTTGTGATTGTGGGAGACTGTAATTAAGAAACTAAGCATAACTTAATAATGGTAAATCGTATAATAATAATCTATAGATCAAAATAAAGCTTATAATAAGAGGAATATGAATATACATAGTTTAGTTACATAGCCTATAAATAGATCCCAACAGTTACCACTCATTATTCCCGTTGGGATACAAAAATATTGACCCAAAAATATTGGTAATTAATTGTAAATGATTTTATCAATCACTGAAATTAAACTATCACATTAAATCATGGGCTAAACCAATCAGATTTAGTCAATGTGTAGTTTATTATGTTTTTGTATTTTAATTATACTTTATGATAGTTGAATTTAAAATTGATGTTGATTATTTTGTCCTGATTGGAGTTCAGAAGCTTATCCAACAATAATCATTGTCATCCAATAGTCATAGTCATTTCATTTCAATTGTATGGGGGCTATGATAATGCCCGGGTGCCCAGACCGAAACAGGTGGTTTTCCTAGGGGGGCACACCTGGAGCCTTTGACCTAAAGGTCTGACCCACAAGGGAGTGGAGCAACGTCAGGAGATGCAGTTCGATGGTAGCCGGTGGCCAACAATTGGTTCATACGTCACTTGCTCGCTCTGGATCGTGGAGCCCATATGCACCATTGGTTTGAAATCAGGGTTTTCCAACTCCTCTAGATAGATCCTCAATATCGCTTTTTGTCCTCGCAATTTCGTAAACAACAGTAATAACGCGAGAAGGTAGTGAGTAGGACTTTCCTGGCAGAGCCTGTATACTCGTGGCCTTAGGAGAGCATTTCGAGAGGGAGGGAGGGCTTCATGAATTTGTGTTTCAGTGGAGATGACTTTTAAAAAAGACTCTTACTAAGTATTCATAGGTTAAATAATCAAAAACATATACGGCTTGTGTCAATATACGCTAACAGTTATAGTCCTGAAAACTTTGATAAACATACTAATTCCACGTCTTCGTATACCATGTTTAAATATATTATTCTATGTACATTTATGCTTTTTATAGAGACAGATAGGATTTGATGAAGCTGGGCGTCCAATTATATATGCATCATTTTGTCAAGCTATTTCAAATAGAAACATGTCAAATGACGCAGTAACTCATCTAATATATACAATTGAAAATGCAATCAAAAGTATGAAGTCTGGTGTTACACAATGGGTTTTTGTAATTGATTGCACTGGTAAGTTAGTGAAAAATTTAACATTTTGTGTATATAATTTTTGATCGGTGAAACATTACTCTAAATAATGTACCCATATTCTGTTGTTACTCGTTACAGTTAAACTCGGACCATAAGTTATAATTTCAAACACAAACTTAGCCACTGACATTATTTCGCTTATTCCGAAGCTTTAAAACAATTATACTCTTTCGATGATTATAGACTCCATCCTTCGTAACTATTTTCACAGATAGAATATTAAGTAAAAAATGTCCCAATTTAGTGAATATTTGCTTGCTTCAAACAATCTTTTAACTAACTATTCTCAGACTATATCTACATTTAAGGTTGACTATGTTTTACTGAATTATTCACTAAGAATTAATAAAAGTGAGATTTCAGTTTCTAATGTCAATCAGAAGTGCATGATTAGTTGTTTTTTGAACTGTACATATTGCCTTGTGCACATATATCAATAATAGAGACTGATCAATTGCAGTGCTAAACATCAATGGGAAGATTTAAGTAAACAATACCAAGTGAATTTAAACTTCACCTCATTGCACAAGCAAATGGCTATCAGAACTCAGTAGGTAAGTGGATAATGTTATGGCATTTGAAGTGAACGGTACTGGGTTCGGGTCCCAGAGTTAACATCACCTCTGTGATGTAGGTACATCCAACTGATGAGTACCAAATAGGACGAAACACGTGTCCTGGATTCCACTGTTAGCCACTATCTATCTTTGCTTATGATATTTAACTTAGTTTTCAAAATCAAACTTTGATTGAAAGATAATATCTATGTAAATATATTGAAACTATAGAACATTCTAAAATATTCATCGAGGATGTTCTCTAGAGTACATATATTTAAAGAAATTGATTTATTTCACAAACCCTATTCACAAATACTTTTATTCGTTTCTTTTAAGTTAGAAGTTTTATTCGTGAAAAGATTAAAAAAATTTCAAACACAACGCCAAATACTGATTACCTTCATCATTCAAGGCGTTTTCTATTAGTTACTTCAACTTTAAATTCTATATTATCTTCAAAAGATTTAACTATCAAGCAATCAATCGTATCTACAACGTCTTTGTCTACTTATGGGAAAAGTTAGATTTTTTTAATTATCTAGATCGTTACTAGAAATTACCGAATTTTCCTTCACCCCACCCCATTTGTTAGTAATAAATGTGATTAGTTTTCAATCACTGAAATAGGCTTGACTTCAGTAGTAATCTTAAACAGTGAAATAATTTTTAGTCTCATATTAGATATTCATCATGTTCAATGATTATTCATGAAGTGTGTCTAACTGACTTGACTATCCAAGTTCGTAACATCTTTAATGCTATGACTGTTTATATTGAGTTCATATTGTATTGGGGAGATAAAAATTAAGAGTCATTAAATGTTTGACATCATATTGATGTAAATTCTCAGCAATAGACTATTTGTAAATAGGGGAACCTCACAAAATTAATATAAGAGGATATTGATTTATTTATTAAAAATGGCTACATATATGAAGTGTAAATAAAGATATTGAATTGAATGAAAATAAGTATTGTTTGTTTATATGAGCTTGAATGCTCAAACAAATACTTTGGAGACATTATTACTAATCATTTATTGATTTCTGAGTATTTAAAAAGATTTTTGCTGTTGTCCTGTGATGATGGAATAAAGCATTCAATGCTTTGAGAAGTACGTTAATTGTTGAATTTACAGTAAGAATGAATTTTCTTTGTATATTCTAGATTATATTAACATGCGATTCCATGACATTCACGTTTTTCAAAAAGTGTACCACATGAATTCCCACCATGCATTGAAGGTTTTTCAATATATCTCCAACGCATTTGCGTACCTTTTTGATGAGAACATGATACTGAGCATGGACTCCAACCACTCCATGTAGTCATTATGCAATCTTGTTTATGACCCGATATATCATTTAATTTTTGATGTTCTATTTCATTTAATGAATCAACATCATTTTTATCATCCACTGATTTTTGTATAGAGATAGCAGTGTGATTATTTGTTACATTATTATGGATCACAGAAGTGTCATTTGTGTATGTACGCATGCTAGCCATACGTGCCTTATTGATTTGTCGTAGCTTCTCCATTTCTAACGGGAGACAATCAGATAAACAACCATGATATGTTTCAAAATTGTTTTCATTACCACCACAACCACGGTATTCAAAATCACGACATCTTCGTAGGCGGGGACAAAAATACCTAGGAAGAAATAGGTAAATAATCGTCATTACTGTAATTAAAAATTATTCTACCGATGTTGATCAAAGTTTATGATTTATTTCGAAGTACCACTAATTAATAAACCTACATTACTATAGTAATAAAAATGGTCAGAAACAGATGCAGCTGTTTGTCATGCAATGAAATGTATTGACCAGAGTAGTAAAATATAGAGTACAGAACCTTGATCCAATAACTTATTGGTAATATATGCACTGGAATACAAGAATTGACAAAGTTTAAACTTATTTGAGCGTAGACCCTAAACTATATCAAAAATGATATTAAGTACATCAAGTCACAAAATAACTCTCAATGTACTTTAATTTTTTATGAAATTACTTCACATATATATGTTAGTTCTAAGAAATATTTGTCGTTTCATTCTTGGACATTTCCACATTTTCCTGTGTAATCACATCATTTGAGCAACTAAAAGAAACTTCAAGAGATGATGTCTGGTTAACAGTGTGATGAAGTGTAGTGAACAAATTACCCTAAGGTTTTTAAATTAAAATGTTCAGGACTAATGATGTGTTATCTGTTAAGAGTTAGGTTGTGATAACCTTCACTGATTAGTAGAGGAATAAAAACATTCGAACGAGATCAGACTGACTCAAGACACAATAAAACCGATCATTTGTTTAACTTAACATGATACTATTTATTCAGTTATGATAACAGAGATTTCATTAAAAATTTCATATAACTGATGAAAAGTATAAAAATAACAAAATTCATGTTTATATGAATAATTATTCGAAATCCTTTCTAGTTCAATTAAACAAACTGAACTTCGATAATTTTGACTGTTACCTTAAGTTTGAATTAGAAAGATTTATTTATATTTCCCTTTCTGAATTCAGGTGTACGTTCTGTGTCTTTTTGATATATTCCCGTCATCTTAGTCTTTTAATTGACTGTATTCAACAAGGTACTAGTGATTACATACTACATAAATCAAGTTTACACTTATTACTTTTGATTATGAAGCCTTGATCTTAGTCATAATATAAGTTGGGTAGTAAAAATTATTATACTTCATCAAAAACACTGCATGTAATGTGTGTCCTAATCTTCCACTCTGAAGCTTGATGTTATTTATGAATGTTTTAATGTTTCATAGCTTTACAAAATAAACCAGTTTCCCGTTTACATCACTGAGATTTCCCAGGCAACAGGGAAAAGTAGACTTTGGCCAAAAATATTGTTACCTAATAAGCCTGAATTTTACTGAATTCAATGTCATTTAGTTATTTAACCTTGTTAGTGTATTATTACGTGTTAACATCAGTTGAAAAAGCATCGAAAACTTTAATACAATAAAGACCCTCTGAATCTACTTTTTTCATATATCAATCTGAACGACAATATACCATTTAGTAATAACTTATCCTCAAGATAAATGCTTTAAAGTCCTATTAAAACATCGTTTTTTATAAACTCAAACAGGTCAAGCTTGATAAATGAAAGTTCACGACAATGTAAACATTCGTAGGCTATTTACATGAATTGAGAAAATCTAGATTAAAACAAAACAACTATTTACTGCTTAATTTTAAAGCCAAAACCTCGACTAAATAATAAATAAAGTTATAACTTACCATCTGTTCTGTGGTGGGTTATCATTCATGCAAGTATAACCAGGGTCCATTACCTGAGAACAGTGTTTAGCTGGAGAAATCGATTGATTTTTAAAATCATTACTATCTGTAGCTAATTGAGCTGTTTGATATTGCAATAAAGCTATCCGTTCTCTTCGCCAATTAGGTAGTGCTTCAACAGCTGGAATGCATAAATCTTCGCAATCTTGTTTTGTAGGAAATCGATTACGCCCACCTTTACATCCTAAATATTTGAATGGTAAACATGCATGTTCAATAGCACTATAGTAGTATGCTAAAACTTTTTCACCACATTCTATACCATCTTTTCTACCCTCTGAACATATTGTAGCCGGATCACAATCTGTATCTTTTGGCTGACATTCCTTCAATTCTCGTAAAGTGCCATTGTTTGACTCGGTTTCACTTGGAAATATATGTTCGCAATAATTCTTTTCTGATGAGCGGGCTAAATAACGTGTACGTGTTTGCCATCCATGCGGTTTATCACAAGTAGCATTACATGGGGTCCAAGCAGTCCATGGTAATAAGCTGCACATAGCACTGAAATCACATGTGCGTTTTATACCATCACATGACTATATAGTTTAGGAGAAAAGAAGTTAATACAAATTTATAGTGTTCATAGATTTCTACTAGAATTGCTTTCATGCTGATAATTTTAAGTAATGCAATCAACAAATACATTAAAAGTTGAAGTTTAGTGACTTGACACTATATGGTATTTTTTAATTGGTTGCTTACTAACTTACTCCTTTTATCCCTAATGGGGTAGCATTGGACGTCCACCACGATTCTCCAATCAACTCTGTCCTAGTCTTTCCTTTCCAGTTTTTGGCAAGTTCTATTCGTTGTTTTGATGGCTGTGCCAGATTCCCGACGCCATGTGTCCTTTGTCAGCCTCTTTTCATTTTTATTTGAAGATCCCAAGTCAAGGCTTGCCTTGTGATGAGGTTTCGCGATTTCCTCCAAGTGTGACTTATCCATCTCCAGAATATTTTTCCAATTCCCTCTTCATCTGAAAGTTGTTTTGATCTCTACCACATAATATTGCTGCTGACAGTGTCTAGTCAAAAGATATAGAGTATCTTAGATAGACAGCTATTTATAAATACCTGTACCCTTTTGATGATGCTAGTAATAGTTCTTCAAGTCCTAGATCTTTAAAACAGAACTGTCTTGACACTGACTGACAGTTGTTTCTTCGTTATCCCATATAGTTGTCTCATGTTTCCCTTCCCTATCAGGTTTTCTCGTTGTCTCTGGTGGGTTTCCCACATACTTCCGCTTATCTGGTCTAATTTTCTTCTTCATTCACTTGCTTGCTTCTATGTATTTGGCCTGTGCATTGGCCTTCTCTTTTCTTGTTTGCCCGTTGTTGAATGATGTATTCATTGTTCTTGTTTTCTTGAAGGTTTCGCAGGATATCAGTTGTGCTGGTGCCTTCTGGGATCCATAACTTCCTTGGTTTTCGAAATTATTGTTTCTTTAATTCATTTTCAGTTATTAACTATAACGGTGAACAACTTTAGACTAATAATGATAGGATTTCAGTTATTATTTAATTACATTTTCAAAACTCCAACTTGTTATGTTAAATATTCACGTAACTATCCTACCAAAAATCATTGACTTTGTGAAATGTATTTATACTACAGTTTTAGGGCTATGAAAGTTTTCCCAATATCTACTTAAAACATTTCAGATTTGAATAACAGGATAAAACGTATGTCCTTAACAGTAAAAGAATATGTAACCTTGTATGATATCACTTGAAATCATTTATGTAGTAATCAAAAGAGTAGTAAACCTTGATTGTGATGACACTGAAAGAAACCAATAAGTCAAACTAATGCTTCGATTCATTGCTTACAAAAATAATTCCTCAAGAGTCAAGTTAACTGTCGAGCACTTCTTTAATTTCCGTAATTATTCGAATAATATTCACCTAAGATAAGCAAACGATCCTTATTTTGATTTAAGTAAAAGTATGGTTTCAACTGTTTTAATCTTTGGGAACCTATACAAATGACCCTTTTGAAGTTGGTAAAATTTTATTCTCTGAGCTGGATGGTTTGATCCTGAAGCTTTCATCGTTCTTCTGAACGACATCCTCAACACAAACTTCAAGTATCGATCCGTTTTGAAGGTCTGCTGACGAATATAGGTGAATTTAATCCATGATAAAAAAGGTTCATACCGATTCATTGATTGATCCATCATGGTATCAAGATTTCATTGTTATAAATACTTTTTTTATCAGGAAGAATAAGAATTTAAGCTTACTGTGAATGTCCGTTAGGGTACTGAATGCTGATGCGATTTCTTCATGAAAGTTTGGATAATCTTATTGAAGTATTTACGTTGAACTGTAAATGACTGATTATCTGAGTTTATACTGGTTTTATTAGCTCGGTCAGACTACCTGTTTATTCGTTCTTGTAGATTGTGGATACACTGACACTATAATTAGTTAATCATTACTATACTATTTCCTTGTGTAGAAAATGTTTCTCAGATGAAGGTATTTTCCTGAGTTGTACAATCTTATTTATGGGTGATTTTAATTATACACAGGAATGGCATATCATCAAATCAAACTACAAGAAATAGTTAAAGACTTTCAAGTATACAGTGTAAAAGGCCACAAAAAGGTAAATACTGTTTGTATTAGAAATTTGTTCACAGTTGAAGCTATAGAAATTCATTATTTCCCATCTAACTTCCATATACAAGAGAGTCATTTTCAACCCCCTATTTTCTCATGGTTGTACCACCCATCCTTATTTCACAAATCATAAACATTAATAATTATCTTATTATTCTCTTTCTACTTCTTTGTAAAATAAACAGCTGGCTTTTGTACATATTGTCTAAATAATTATTTTCCACTACTTTTGAAACTATTTCTTGAGCATTTTTGATCACTTCGCTAAATGATGTTGTGAGGATGGCCCACGGGTGAACTCAAGAAAGCTCTAAGACGCTAAGAAAGAGCCAAACACGTTCCATCCAATCATCTCCTGAAGAAACATCCCAGGGACATTCCCTATTGAACAAATGCTAAAAACCACTGTATGCGATTTGAATGTCTATAATGATAATTTCGCTTTTACTAAAAACTATAATTATCTGAGAGTTTTGTACCATATTTGATACTGTTCGGAATAACATTCCCTCTCCCTCGTCTTCTGTCTTCTCATTTGTGACTTGGAGGTTTATGGCATTTAAGTGCTCAAGTAGTACACGGTATATCAAGAATCTAAGTTCTAGATATAACAGATGTAACACTTAGTTTATTACATACTTTAAATCTCTTGATGATGATCGATTATTTTGTTAAAGGATATGACAGCACTTCAATTTTTTGATTTTTCTTTACTCTATACTTGAAAATATTGGATTATATTTGGCAATTTTGTTTAATAATATGACATTCGTGATATCTTTTTGATTGAGATCATGGGCCGATTGATGTTAGACCACCTATGAAAACCTAGAAGCACTGGACGGCTAATTCGTTTTATTGTGGGACTCCCCCTCAGCAGTGTGCATCCACGATCCTGCTCGCGGGATTCGAACTCAGGGCCCCCATTCTCGCGCGCGAACTCCTAACCTCTAGACCATTGAGCCGACTGGCATCCAACGGCGTTAATGTCCAACCTCAATCAATCCACGAATTCTTGATATCAGTCTAGACTATCATATGTGTATAATATTACCAGAAAATACAATAGTAAAACTGAAAATCGACAAGAAACGCCTTCAATCATTTTAATAGCTCAATGGGTTTCGATTATTGTCATGATATTTTTCATTTTTTAGGATTCTTTTTCATAAATATTTTGAAGTGTCTAAATTAAAATCAGTGCACTTGGACGCAAGTGATTGAGTTGTTATTTACGGTTATTTGTTTAAGAAATGTGCGATATAATAAGTCATATTTTTTGCAGTTAGGCATTCCATAGCGTCATGTTGAGATTATTAGTATGCATACCATTTGAAACCAATGAATGAGGAAGCATGGTAAATCACTCGTGTTATTTAATGGAAAATACCTAACCTACGAATTGATGGAGTAAAATACATACAATATTATTGCAATGTATCTATAGTTTCTTTAGTTATTTCAAGGATCTTCTATTTCTTACCTCTTCTTCAACTAATGGAACATGTTGACAAAGCTCTGTCTTCTTATTGATCAGCATGTCACGTTGTCTAGTTCGACGACCAACACCACAGGTAACTGAACACGACCCCCAGGCTGACCAAGGACTTGTAACACATAGAAATGTGGCCATCTGTGCCAAACTTGGATCTGATAGAGGATCATCCCCACCTAGTCCTCCACTTGTAATTCGTGTTCCGCCTACTCCACCACTACCAATTTTGTTTCGAGTTTTTTTTGGTAGTGCGCCTGTTAAATCCCCTATAACTGACTGAACTATCGGAGAATGTTTATTAGATTGGGATCCTGGTCTGGAACCTACTGTTTCTGTACTTCCATCGGCATGAAATAGCTCCACCCCATCGTACAACTTTGAAGTACATTCCCATGATTCATTAGGTAAAACTCTCTCCAAGATTAATTTTGCTACCGGGACGCCTGGTGTGAATGGACTATTTGGCATCCAGTCTCTGGTGATAAAACGAATAGGTTCTGGAACATCCTGTATAAATATAAAAGTTAATCGGGATATTTTATGGGTTAAATAATTTATGAACATGATATTTATCACTCTTCAACTTACTCACCCAGATCAAAATTTAAAATGTACTTTAACACTACAAATAGCTTAAAAGTGTATAAATCTTATACTCATTTCCTCGGTCCATATACTATTTAAATAACGCAAATCGTTTTTAATTGAGACTTTAAAAACAAGGAATGTTTGAATTACTCTTTACTCTAACCCGATTTCAAATGACATAGATACAGAAAGATAAATAACAAATTGATCTCTGTAGAAGTGGTGGTATATACGAATTCATATCCAAGGACGTGTATAGTTACAACAATCTTTATTATTTTGGATCGCAAAATGTAAGATGCAGTCATTAATAAACGGTAAATTGGAAAAAAATTATATATTTATCCATGGAGTGAACTAAGACTATATCGAGGCAATACGCACAGTATGCCAATAAAAGACTGATCAATTGCAGTCCTAAACATCAATGGGAAGATTCAAGAAAACAATACCAAGTGAATTTAAACTTCACCCTATTGCACAAGCAAGTGGGTATCAGGACTCAGTAAGTAAGTGGACAACACGATGGCCTTTGAAGCGAACAGTACTGGGTTCGAGTCCCGGAGTGTACATCAGCTATGAGATGCGAGTACATCCAGCTGACGAGTCCCACATAGGACGAAACGCGGGTCCTGGATTCTACTACTAGCCACTATCCGTCTTTGCATTAAGTACCAAAAACTTTTGAACTAATAATCTGACTAGGGCATGTTCTTCCAAAGTGATTTTTGTGATGAAACTCTAGAAAACCCTCATTTCAAACCAATAGTGTATATGGGCTGAAGGATCCTGAGGAAAAAAATGACGTATAAACCAACTGTTGGTCATCGACTACCATGTGACTGCATCCCTCTACGTCGCTTCACTGCCTTGTGGATCAGACATTTAGGTCAAAGGTCCCGAGTGTGGCCCCCTTAGAAAACCACTTGCTTCGGTTTGCACTTTCGGACAATATCCCAGCTCTCACACAAATCGAATGATTTATGTGGCGTATATCTGTTTGGCGCCTCCTTGTATCAATGTTTATGTGTTTGAATAAATAACAATTAATAAAATTGCTGAACTCGTTACTGACTAACGTCCAAGGTAAACAGTCAACATTCTTGAAATTGAAGTATTTCTCTGATGAGTTGTACAGAAATAAAAATATATTGATCGAATTTTTCTGATGTTTACTCAAGCGTTTTAACAAAACTCAAGAAATTATATTGAGTTTTTATGTATCTTAGAGAACAATGGTGTTGATTACCATCTAATAAACAACTAGTAAACATAATCTTACTGTCCTACTAGAAAGTGATTTAAGTAATAAATTTGAGGTCTAAAATTGAACTTTACATTCTCTAACACGATCCCGGAGTTATTAATATTCATAGTATGTCAGCAGTTTCTAACAGACAAAAATATCATACCACAAGACAGTTACCTTGTTATCTGAATTTTTAGGAAGATATGTATCACCGTTACGAGCTCCAGCATCCCAAGGAAATAAGTCAATTTCAATGTTTTTTACCCAAGTGCAGTCCGCTTGACAAACTGATTGACTGGAAATACCTGTACACCAATTAGGACTGGGTCCAAGCATTGTTAAAAATGAAATTAAAGGATGTGTTCTATTTACGCCAACATAAGTTGTTCTCGTCTCTTCAAGAGCTTCTTCTCCCCACATGCCTGGAGCAGACACTAGACTTAGTAACGGTCCGATACCGGTAGAACCTCTTTGAGTTCCAGATGGAACTCCTCCTAAAGAACCTGTGTTTGTAGCAGCGATCCCGAGTGACTGTTTCATTACAGTTGTGTCACCATACGTACAAACAGCTTGAACTCCAGCACTTGCTGGTTCTCCCATACGGTAAATTTGGAAACTCGGTGAGTGACTAGCACCGATAAGGTTAGTCCAGTGAAGTGCTCCAGGATTGTGAACGGGCCAGTCTTTTGGATGTGTTGCTCTAGTCCACATACCAGTAAAGGTGAGCTTATAAGTTGCTGAACCACATGCACAACAGTCTTGAGGTTGCATACTATCCAAATGCATAAATTCATCATGTGATAACTTCATCGTTCTTCCCTTCATAGAATTTTCGACATTTCTATCATTTACAGGTAACATGTAAGCTGGAAGAACAGGACTTGGTGGTCGTGTATAACTTGGACAAAGCGTTTTGGTCAAACCACCTTCATAATATATGGAATAGAAATACAGAGCATTGAATAAGAACAATTTGATCCTCAAATAAAAATCAGTCATATTTGCTGACATCTATATGTCCACTGAAATTTAGTGGATTATTTGAATGACCATCACTTCACACTCTTATCTATCAGGTCCACGATCATTAGTTAATACTGAACTAAGGGACGTACGAAAATAGTTTTCGTAAGCTTAAGAATAATAATGTTCGAACAGTGCCATTATAAGACCTATGTTCAGATGCTTGAAACATTTGGTTTTAGGTTCAAAGGCCATTTCTCAAAGTTAAAGAACATGAACTCTTAGATAGTAGGATATTTCTGTAGCGATATATATTCGATGCGTATTGTTCGTAGTCTCATCAGCTTTTAATGACTATGACAGTACTTAACCAATGACCATGAGGACTTGTGAAACTCCTCAAATACGTTAATTAACTGGTATATAGCAGTCATTTGAATTAATAAAGTGTAAGGGATTTATATTCACTTAGTGTTGTTTACTTGTGTCTTCCCATTGTTATTTAGGACTGTAATTGGTCAGTTTCTCGTTGGCATATGTGTATCCTGTGCGGGCTGTCTCGATATTGCCTGAAGTCACAAGCTGAGTCCCGAATAGGACGAAACGTGCGTCCTGGATTCCACTGCAAACCATTATCTATCTTTGCTTATAAAGCACATATGCGAACGAGAGACTGGTCGATTGCAGTCCTAAATAACAATGGGAAGATATAAGTAAACAACACCAAGTGAATATAACTGCACCCCATTGCACAAGCAAGTGGGTTTCAGAGCTCATTAGCTAAGTGGATAATGTGATGGTGTTTGAAGTGAATGGTAATGGGTTTTAATCTCAGAGTGAACATGAACTTTGAGATGCAGGTACATCCAGCTGACGAAACCCGAATAGGACGAAACGCGTGTCCTGGATTCCACTGCCAGCCACTATCCATGTGTGCTTATAATGTCAGGGATTTACTTTTATACAAAGTATTTATTTTTATATCTTAGTGACCTTTAAAAATTTGATACGATTTTAAAATTCAACCATTGGTGTGTCTTGTCGTTATTACTCGGAGGTAATGAAAGTGTTTCAGGTTTATTTATTCATTACCCTCTTAGTATTTGTAGTTGTCTTATTCTAGGATAAAACTCCGTGTTTTAATCGTGCTCGTATATTTCTAGATCAGTTCAATCCGGATCTTATAAATTTTATTGATATGGTTCTTGTGATCTTTATTTAAAAAAACAAGTAATAAGCAATCATTGAATGTATTCAATACTCAAAAGCATATCAATCACCACTTACCTATAGCGGAAAATATTTCTCTTTGTTCATTATGTGTTTGTACAGCTGCATTAATATTGATACAACCACATTTATCTTTTAATGGTGCTTTCCATATAACGATCATTTTTGTAACAAGTCTTTGAGTACGTGAGATCTTCTCAGCTGTAAGACCTTCACAACCTAATCTTGTTTGAGTGACTGCTGTCTCTGTTGTCCATAAATCAGATAAAATATTATTATTTGGATCCTGATTAGTTAAATGAATCCATTCGCCTAACTCTCTAGAAGAGCAATTGTTCATATTATCTGTTAACTAAGGAAAGTTAAAAAATGATTCAATAAAATAAAGATTCTAAGAAAAGTGATTGATAAGTAACTTATTTTATAAAGATTGTTATGTAATAGGATCTAAAACAATCATTGATAAAGGTATTTAGATAAGAATCTTTGCAGAAGTAATAGTAGATCCATCGGTAATGAAATTTGCCATTTTGAGACATGACGTAACGAAGGAAATGTCAATGAAAAATTGATGCCTAATTGAACTTTCAGAAACAGGAAATAAACTATTACCTCCCAACTGTCGAACTTATGTGATACCTGTTTAGGATTCATTACATAGGAACTCTTAGGAGGCTATGGTATGTGTCTACCTTTGTACGAAATAAAAAGAAAGATTTATGATTAAATTCTGTGAATAGATTCAGCACAGCTTTGATTACTGCTGCTCCTGAATAAAATATTTTACTTCAATTGTATATGTAACAAACCTGTATAAAAAAGTAACTGTGGAACACTCATCCTGATGTCTTCAATAGAATAACTGTTATCCTCTGCCACCCACAGCATTTAAACACTTATCACGACTGATTTGTATCATTCTTTAGTTTTTCAAGTTACATAAATTTAGTAATATTTAAGTTTCTAGAATAGTCAACCCTAACAGAATTCACTTTTAAGAAATGAACCAAACCTTTATCATAGCGGAAATTGAAGGTTGTTAATTTGATTTCTGTTCCAATCTACATATTTATAAATCTCAATCATCAACAACTTTATCAATAATCGAGTCGGTCTATTCGAATGGTCTGAATTGATCTAAGTAAATAAATATATCCATGAAACATTCGACTTACTGTGTTTGAATTGAGTTGTCCATTAAGTGATTTACTATCCACAAGAGTTGATGAATCCATTTTTATATTCATCATCATTTTTTCCTTATTCATATTAGGTTCAATCCATATTAATCCATCACGAAATCCTACTGAATGAAATCGATTTGTCAATATTACATAATATTTTCTTCCAGGTTCATACCATTCATCAATCATAACACCATCATTTACTCTTCGAATACGTAATTCAAATCCATTATCATCCATCATTACTTTATCTTGATACTTTAATTGATTTAAATGAGACTGCATATCCGATGATGATGATAATGATGATACGATTAAGCTTACATTTCGATTGATACTTATTTGACTTCTTAGATTAACTGTAAGAGTTGTACATAATTTTGATAATTTTAAACCATCAAGTTTATTAACACAATTAAATATGAGGAGATATAAAATAGAATTCAATTGAATACTAAGCATATTTAATAAATTAAACGCTCCAATTTCAATGAATTTGCCCTTAAATATACCCAACAACAACAACAAAAATATGACATACACTATGGGTGTAGGAAAATACGTGGGTGTTTCTACCGTAAATAACAACTGATCAATAATGAATGGAAGAAAGAATATAAAGTAATTAGTATTACATATTACATATGTTCCGGTACTTTTATCAATTGTCAGATGATCAAGGTTAGGCAGGGGATGTTATTTTGATTAGTTGAAACTTGGGCATATTTGTATTTTTGGCTTGTTCATTTTTAATAGTTCCTAAGATAGATGAATTACAAATACACTTCTAGATCATATAACTTTAAGTTTAATGCTTTATCAGAGAAATATTTAATGTAGGTATTTCAGATAAAATTCATGAGTGCTAATATCTCTGATCAGAAAATTATGCCTTTCTTCTTTTAAATTAGTTACTATGGTGCATTCATTTTGGTTAGTTAGTGACTAAAATAAACGAGTGATTTTAATTTTGTTCTCTCAGTTAGATGGTTTAATTTTAAAGTTTTGATTTGTTGTCTGGAGACCATCATCAGTGGCTACTTCATACAGAAATGAGCGTTTTTGTTATTTTTCAAGTGTTATATCAGTTCATTGTGATGGCTTTGTTTGTTATTAGTCGTTCTCGTAGATTTTGTAGTCTTTATCTCTTCTTATGTTCTATCCTATATAGTGTATCGTTCAGATTAACTAAATATTTACTTCAATATAAAATAGACTCAGATAATGTTGTCCATAACAATAGCAAACGTTACAAAATTGAATAATCTAACTGAGGGAATACAACAACTGTAAAAGTTAGTTGATTAGCCAATAATAGCCAACAAAATTACCACTCAAGATGGTCTATAACCATGATGATAGTATTACTTTTATTTAAAAAAATTCTTCTATTTAGCTAATGTTCATTCTTATTGATATTACCTTTTTCATAAATATTATATTGTCATAAGAAATCTGAACGACTCATTTATGAAATAATATCGTCCATCTTTTTTAATACTTACTGGTTAAACTTTTAACTTTGCCCCGTAACAAACTTCAGCGTAGAAGAGGAGACAGTGTGTAGTCTTAGTGACTAGAAGTATAAATTCAGGTACTTGCTAAAATGAACTGAAATTACTTCTATGAATCGTATGCTTATTATGATTATTATAATTTTGATAAATGAGAAAGAATAAGATGACATTAACCAAGTGATAGATTTTTTTTAGTTTTAAACCACTACAAACATTGAACAGTTGTTGATAGTCAATTAAATGTATGTATTCATGGAGTTAAGAATGATTGAATATGTGAATAATGAATTTTTAAGCAAAGATGGATAGTGGCTAGCAGTGGAATCCAGGACACGCATTTCGTCCTATTTGGGACTTGTCAGCTAGATATACCTGAATCCCAGAGTTCGAGTTCTGCAGTGAACATCAAATCTGGGATGAAGGTATATCCAGCTGACGAGTCCCAAATAGGACGAAACGTGCGTCCTGAATTTAACTGCTAGCCACTCTTCATCTTTGTTTATAATGCTTGTGAATATCGAGGCAATTCACATAGGATGCACATAAACCAATAAGAGAGAGAGATTGATCAATTACAGTACTAAATAACAATCGGAAGATACGAGTAAAACAACACCAAGTGAATGTATACAATGAAGTTTAAATGGTATGCTTCATAGACTTTTTTTTCATAGTGATCATATTTGATAATTTATTAAAAATAAAATAAAAATACGGTAATGTCTTTGATGAACGTAGGACCAGGCACATAAATGCATCGGTCCAAGTTGCCATACCTCATAAGCACAAAAAGATCAACACCGGCTTCATAGAAGTAGTTACTTTAACAGTGGTAATATATAAAAGAAAAATTGCATATAAGGATATAGTACAGAAAGAAAGATTTAGTTCGTAGAAAGAAAGATATAAAACAATTTTAATCTCTTAGTTTAAAAGAAGACAGAGAGTGTATACACCTACGCCATTGTGATCGATTCGGAACCATACCATCCAGAGTCTCCAACCATTGGTTACAATAGTAACACGGATCCCAACCAAGTAGTCTACATCTACCAACATGGCTCAGATTAGAAGTTAGTGATTTCAATGACTGATGCCACGTTTTGGTTTGGCCACCCCTAACTTTGTTATAACCATCCCCAACACTAGTCAGCATTGCATGTCGTGGCATATCTAAACACATGCATACATTATTGGTTCATTGTGAGTTATCATTCAGATATACATATAAAATGATTGATCAGCGTAGAAACTAACGTTTCTTGAAAATTATTTAGCTTTCGTTAATAGAAAACTTCAAAAAATTTACTTTTTATCTTTTTTAGTATCTTTAATTATTTCTATCTGTTACATGTTTTGTCCTATTGTGAGTAAGATAATCACAGTGATGATACTGATGTTTGTTGAGGGATTGAATTCTGAACACTAACGTCTTGAAACTTTAAAAGAATACTGTTATGACTTTATGTCCGGCTTTTTATCACATGATTTGCCCACCAATAAAAATACGACCTATACGATCGTAGCACTGTGCCAAAACAATGACGTTCCACCGGTATGAGCAGTCTAGCGTCCTTATCGGTCCTATGTTCGCCTATCCCGTCCACTTGAATCCAGAACAACAAAATACCAGCTTCCAATATGCGAATCGAATCGAATCATTTATTTCAGACATACTGGGTTTATATATCAACCAAACAGACCTCAGCGCACCATAAAATAGGAAATAACATTTGTACACAATAAAGCCAAAAAGTGACTGTGAACGTGGGAGGCAGTAGTCAATAAACTGAACATAACTTAAGAACAGTAAACCGTGCGATAATAAATTATAGGTCAGAATAAGGCTTATAATAATAGGAATATAAATATACATAATCTAATTATTGAATAGTTATACCATAAGAATGTACGGATAATATTAGTCAATTAATACGTCTTAGAAGTTACTGGTTATTTAATCTTCGCTCGGACATAACAAATACTTTCATAAATTATTATGCTGTCAATGTAGTTGAATAATAAATTCAGTGTTATACAACAAAATTTCACTTTAGAAGTGTACATTTCCCAGATTCTTGTTCAGTTGAACATTATTACTGTATTAACGGGACATAGATTAGATTGAAGTATGCTCTATGCACGATTGCGTTGCTGCACGTTGCTTGACTAATTCTTAACTTATCAACGCTAGTCGATACTTGGTGAACACCGTACTAACGTTATAACTATTGTGCTTCTTACTTCCATCTAATCTTCTTATTTGAATATAATCTCTTTTCTGTTCAACCATGTTCTGATTTGAAGACATGTCGAGTGAATTGGTGTCCAAGAACACTGAGCAATAGAAATAACTGGGTTGTAATAAGATAGAATTATAACACACTGGGCTTTACATAACGGAAATTATACATGGAACACAGAAGAGAGTATATACTTATCAAAACGGGTTTTGTGGAGATTTTAGAAATTTTAATAGTTGAAATCATGAGTCATTTGAAGCTAGACCACCATGGAAAATCTGGAAGCACTGGACGGCCGTTTCCTTTTAGTATGGGACGCCTCCTTAGCAGTGCGCATCCACGATCCCCCCTCAAGATTCGAACCCGGGACCTATCAGTCTCGCGAGCGAGCGCTAATGAGAAGCCGTTACCAGTTGAGTTCAACCAGGTCTTTTGTGAGATATCAGCTCACTGAAGACATTGGTGTACGGTGGCGTAATTTCGTGAAGAGTATATACTTAATTAATCAACTTTACCAAACATTAAAAAATTCATTGGATTCCATGATGTTTTAGGATGCAAAGATAAGAAAGAAGAAAAATAATTACATCATAAAATGCCTAATTACTTTTCGATTGAATTTATACCTTCTTGGTATAATCAGAAGGTATACATTATTGAAATTATAGCACTATTTGGTACGACATTAGTTCACATTTATTGTCTAATTGATATAAACATTTAAGGGTCTAGTAACTGTCGTAATTTTGGTGATAAGAAGCATTTAAGTTGGGCATTTCAATTATATGAAATGTCCGCAAAAGTCAGAGGATTGTTATAATGAAAGTAGTTTATTTATCACTGCAATTAGTTGAAACATCTTAATTTTTAGGCATGACTACAACCAGCTGTCATCCTCGTCTTGGTTACGAATGTGCCAAAATAATGGCTGATCATTATCCAGAGCGCCTTGGTTTAGCAATCTGTGTTCATCCGGGACCTGCATTCAAAGTTGCTTGGCAAGCAATTAAACCATTCTTACCACAGACAACAGTATCAAAAGTTTGCTTTATTAGAAGTAAATCAAAAATATTTTCAACATTTGAACAATACTTTTCTTCAGAAACGTGTAATTGGTTAATAACTGAAGTAAAATTCAACAGATCAAGACAAACAACAACCAAATACCGACCATTTTGGTTACCTCCAAAAGATTCCGATGATAAACATGATCCCAGAGGTGATCCGATATATGTCCGTGATTGGCTTGTATTGAATCATCCAACTCAACATTTACCACACCCAAATATTGTTGATTATATGCTTGGATGTTTAAATTCACTTAATTATGAAAATGCATTATGCTCTAATCATCTGGTTGATAATAATTATGACTTAACAGAAAAGGGATTTGGTGATTTTGAAGAACATGAAAATGATGATGAGGAGGAGGAAGAACTTACTAATATGCTTGCTGCAGAAATACCAAAAGAATTTATGATTCCTGAAAATGCAGAAAAGTTAACATAACTTATTATATTACATTAAAATATTTATATTCTGTTGGCTCGTTCTCATCTTTTTAACACACTTGTCATTTTATACCACTAAACGATAATATACAAATCAATAAGAGATGAGTTCTCAGGGTTAGACAATGGAAAGTTTTTTGGTAATATGGTACTTTATTTGCATGTATTTGGTTTATTTTTTAAAGAAAAGTTATTTTTTAATTTAAGTTTTCATTATTCCTCAAGTTAAAATCTCTTCATTAATCACTTGAAACTTCGACAATGATCAAACAGTCCAGTTGAAACAACAGTATATTATCTATTTAACATGGTGAATAATCGAATATATTCAAAAAGAGGAAATATTTTCAACAAAAGGTCTACTTTTAATCAACTCATTACTTTGCCAACATGAAAACCATTTAATAGAAACTAATTAACGGAGGTACACTGCACTATTTAATTACACGGCGAGACTATAATTTATGGATGAACCAATCAGGTATAAGATAACAGATCCCAGATTTCGGCGGAAAATTCACTCATCCATTTGTATAAATAGAGTTTTGACATTATAACTGATTTCAGTTTGTGATGAAAACCCTTCACATAAGCCGTTCTGTGGCATGAAACCAATTATTCCTCGTTGGCTATACTTGAATTTGACGAGATTCGGTGAACTGTTTAACGTTTGATGATCTGCCATCTAACGTACAAATGATTCAGCTAGACGGACGCTTGGGCAAGGGTTCATTGACATTTTAGTGACCCCATGACCAATTATTTATGGTATGGTTTATTTTTATTACCAATGTACATACGGTATGAATACAAGTCCTTCATGAAAATCCACTTCTGACTGAATCCTCAGAGCGTAGCCTTGAGCTAGTAATCACCGAGAATTTATACGCCAGCTCAAACCACCATGGAGATACAGTCGAGGCAAGCGTGAATTTCCACTTTATGCGTAGACTACTTGGGAAGACCGCCCCGAGAGTTGTTCCAAACTCTCTTTATAACGTATCCGCAGTCCCACCCTGAAGTTCGCAAACTCATTTAGCCCCGTCTCTTCAAGAGAGTCCTACATCTCTTACACTACGTACAGAAACGTGCAAACAAGTTAGTGATAGAGCTTAAATCTCACGACAACAAACTTTCACACATGGGGTTATTCTGGTTGAGATACAAGATGAGAAGAAGCGGTCTGGTAATCAATTACAATATATAAGATATACCGAGTGATCTCAACACAAGCATATTACCAGATCATCATCAGGGTTGGGTATGTCTTTAGAAAGTTTTAATGTCGATATTTGTTGTCTATCCAAGACGCATATACTAAACTCTAGCGTAGTGCCACAAATTCGTTACTCATCCTTCGCTTCGAATTACTTGTTTCATGTGAATTTATCGGGGTACCATATGAAATATTTGTCTGGTGTTGTTGACGTTGGTATCGCACTAAGGGCCTAAGCTGAGGCAGCACTAATCGATTGGATCGTTATTAACAGTCAGATATGTGCTGTTGGATTAGAAAATTACAACAAAGTGCGAAGAAATCGGAGCTTGAAACGATGTCTTTTTGTCATCTCCACCTGTGCTCCCATAGATTTAGCCCGGATGCTATCAATGATGAGTTTTACTTACAGTTAACAGTTCTACAGAGAGTTCGTTCGACAGATATTGTAGTACTAGTCCGAGACTTGAATTCTCAGGTCAGGTGTTTAAGAACAGAAGGGAGCCGTTTAAGCGGCCGTTAGGGACTTGTCGGTTGCGGGTCAGATAATGGTGACCGTCTGCTGCAACCCGTTTCTAACTAGCACTATTTGCCATCACAGTCATTGCCGGTGTGCTACCTGGCGTCATCCTCTGCATCTCGAGCCTGGACTCAGACCGACCACATCAGAATAAGCTGCCGCTGAAGTGATTGTGTACAAGAGTGCCGCTCATTTTGAAGCACCAATCTGAACTCTAATCATGTCCTTGTTTGTGCTAGTCCTACCTTAAGTTCCAGTGGCCAACAGCGTCATCGTCCCAAACCGACTTTTGTCAGTAAATTGGTCAGAGCTACTGTTGCACATAAATACCAAGGCTAGCTACCCTCCCACCAAACGTTATGGAAGTACATTCGCTTACAGCTTCGCAAAACATCCAACTTATGAGCACTGGGTTTCCTCAGGCCTTTTACAACTCGTTAGAGCCCGTAGGTTTACTCTGAGTGACCTCACGTCTGATTACAATCAAAGATTGTTACATAATGAAATTGGACAAACCTTGCCTAAGGACTGAGAAGACTGGTGATCAGAGCGTGTAAATGAGTTCAGAGCATCAGCTACATCTGATAACTCCCGCAAGTTCTTTCAACTCATCAGAGTCTAGTGTGAGCGAAGTATTCTGTGACGGTGACCTCTTTAACGATGAGCATATCTTTTTAAAAAGCAGATCAACTGGTTTGCTTCTCCGACAACATCGATCAGACTGTCCTATCCTCCATGACCTGTGGTGACTGATCCACCTAACGAGTCGAAAATCCCTAAGGAACTCCAACTATTAAGGCGCTATACGGATGATATTGTCTCACTGTGCGACGATACCCAAGCCGAGCAATCTGCACTTAATCAGTTGGCAATCAGTATCCGTGGGTATGGCATGTACTTTGGACCTTCTAAGTGCAAAGTACCTTCACAACACTGTTAGGACCCTGATCCCGCACTCACTCTGAGTAGTGAGCGCGTTGAAGTAGCTGAGAAGTTCATGTATCCGGGTAGCGGCATAAGTGCTGGTGGTGGCGTGAGTGATGAGATCAATGCACATATAGTGAAAGCCAGAGTGGTGTATGCCAATTTGAGCAATCCTTGGCGCTTCGTGATGTTAGTCTGGTTATAAGAGTTCGGATCTATACTTGTGAAACCTGGCCTATCCGCGTTGAGAATTTCAGACGACTCTCTGTGTTTGATCATCGTTGTCTTCGAAAAATTGTTGACATCCAGTGGCAACACCATGTTAGTAATGCAGAGGTTCGACGTCGTTTATTCTGACACGGCGACGATAATCCAACCTTAGCCACTATCTTGAAACACAGACTTTGGTGGCTTGGTCATGTCCTGGAAAATTTCATGTCGTGCATTATTTGTCGATTCTGGGATCGGTTGGAAAAACCGGAGAGGTGATCATTGTGTGACATGGTGTTGTGGTATAAAAGAAAGCTGTATAGGACTGGGTTCTGTCGGTCCTCCATGACTCCCTGGCTGGGGTCCGAGAGATGGTGCAAAACAGTGGCCATAGACGTTGTCAGATATGTCTCACAATAGAAGCAAGCGGCTATATCGATGCAATTTTGTTTTATTTTCTTCATAAAAATGAATGTGACTTCTTTAACTGAAATAATTGTTTCTGGTTGTATCTTTAATAACTGAACTGTTATTATTATTACTATTATTATTATTATTTCGCTCTCATACACTAATTTCTGTCCGTTTTTCTTCTTTTTATTATACGCACTTACATTCTTTATCTCTTCACAATCCCATTGTTATTGTGTGGCGCATATGTATTTTGTGCCCCTTTTACTAATATTTGTGTGTTCAAATAAATAAATAAAAGCTCAGTCACAGTCGGTTATAAAAAATTGTGCCACTGTTTTTATGAAACTAGGAGTTAGTAGGTTTCAGATAGCACAGGTACAAACCAAAACGAAGTTAATTCACAAGGCTTTGAATAACGGTAAAACACATAGGTTACAAAATGTCTGAGTGCTCGTCGCACTGTGGCTTCGATTAATTACTTAATGAGGTTCAACACTCGGCTCTTCATATAAATTAAAACTGTTTGAGATAGAACATATAGTATGTAACTGAATCGCATCACTTTTAGACAGTCTAATTCAAGTCATAAAAATAAAGCAGCATTACTCACACTGTTGGAATATCACCAGTTCTGGTTTTCAAGGCTAAGTCATTGCACCACTGTTAATGTGCATCAACGACATGTTTCGTTGATTTATAATTTCAAAACCCTTTCTTTATACCAGTGATCTTGAAGCATTGTGTAAACTCCGCGAAAGTCACAATAGAAATATCAATTAAGTGTGACAGTAAGACTTCGAAAATTGTCATTATTGGTGTAACACATACTTCCACCTCTTTAATCCATAAAAGTTTGTGTAAATGTTTTTGGCGAACTGGGCCAGCAGATAAGCTCACGTCTCAATAAATTAGAAGTTAAGCAACCAAGTAGTATTTGATATTTAGAGGAGAAATATACAAACAGCCTAATGTTTGCTCCGTTAAATTATTTCTAAATCTGTGAAACCAGCAGACATTTTGGGCTTGGTCGTCCCGACTTTTATTTAACATTCAAATTGATTTGTTGTAAATCATGTGTTTAACGCCTTATCATCATTTACATGCACTATCAAGACCGATAGAAAATTAATTAAACACAACGGTGATCTGTGCTACTCCGTGCTTCTGGAATGGTACCGATAGTAAGAATAAGATATCTGATGGCTTAAATTAATAAATCTAGTCAGACTGCAGAAATATGGTCTAACTCAGCAATAGTATATCTATCTTTAAAACTATACTAATAGATGTGGAGGCTTTCACGATGTGACTGCCCAACCTATAAAATCTTACATGGAAGTCACATCACTGCCCATACTGAATCGTCCTTCATGATAATCAGCAATACGATGTTTGGTACTTCCTATGAACGCACTCATGATGGGGATAAACTAATACACATTGAATAATCACACTTGTCAGTCAAAGCCATGCCATACTGATCAGTTATTACCAAGTTCACAATTCTTGACCTCCCTTTGTGTTACATGTCGAGTGTAAATCTCAGTAATTTTATGTTTGTCTTCAAAGATGGTGTGCTTCGGAACAAATATCCTATATTGCGAAATTCTACATAATTTGACTTCAGCAAATTGTGATGCTATAAAATGTGCCAATGGTAGAAAATTAGATCTTCAGAATAGGAAAGTATTAGCAATAGAACAATAAGTTTCAAGAAAATCATCATTGCTATACAAGTCTCTGGAACTGGTCATCACCAAACCTCTGGCCGATTAAAACTCTGTCACAACTTAAATATTTCTCGAAGTGCTATAAAAACCAACTTTGGGTGAACTATGTTTTGACTGCAAGA